TCATATATACAGGACTGTCTCAGAAAATTAGAATATTGTGATAAAGTTCTTTATTTTCTGTAATGCAATTAAAAACATGAAATGTCATACATTCTGGATTCATTACAAATCAACTGAAATATTGCAAGCCTTTTATTGTTTTAATATCGCTGATTATGGCTTACAACTTAAGAAACCCAAATATCCTATCTATATAAAATAAAGAACTTTATCACAATATTCTAATTTTCTGAGACAGTCCTGTATATGAATCAGACCATAGAGGTGTTTAAGTCCTCTTTAAAAATGTATTTATTTGACATGGCTTTTAACATTTTAACCTTAGGTTGAGGTAGAGCACCTTTTTACCTTTTATTTATTTTTTATTTATTCATTATTTTATTTTACATTTAAATCACATATATGTATGTAAATTATGTTAGCTTTTTATGTTTGTTTTTACCTGTTCAGCACTTTGGCAACTTTGGTTATTTTAAATGTGCTCCATAAATAAAGTTTGACTTGAATTTGACTTGACCAAATTAAACCTCTGTGCATTTTGGAGAGTGGAAGAAATGGCCGATCTCAGCCGGGATAAACATGGATGCTGTGGGTCAGTTCTGGCTCATTTCTGGAGATTTAGATTCCTCCGTTGTTAAATTTGTTAAAGGCGAGGGCAGATTAATGATCTCCATGTTTTTTAACAAGAGCTTTAAAAGTGTGAAAACATGGGAGCTCTCTCAAAAAAGAAGGTAAACTGTTTCAGTATTTACATATGGAATTTTGTTTTTAAAAAATCAAGTCAGGTTAAACAGGCATTATATGATTTTAACCCTTTAAAGCCTGATTTAAAAAAACAACACATTGGGATATTTACCATTTCTTAAAGACCAAATTGTTGCTTTGCTTTGCGGTCTTCTGCCCACAAAACAAACTTTTAACATGTGAAAACATGTTAATTTAGGTCAAAAATCTAAATTGTCAAGCTCCTAAAGTCCATCGTTTTGCATCTTTTTGCAGAAATCAGGGAAGCGTGAGTACAAATCAGAACAGCTGCTCTCATTATGGTTTTTTTTCTGGCGTTCCTTTCCAGCTTGTCGCTCTGCTGTAACGCCTGTCTGATTTTATAAACGACAGCGTCATCAAAAAAACAACAACTGGAGGACAGTTTTAAAGAGTTAGAGTTGGAGTTGGATCTGGATAATTAACAGAACTGCTGTCCTTCTCTCAGAAAGATGGAAGACGGTCGTTAACTAAGTTAACGTTAAGTTTGGAAATGTGGATTATTTTATACAATGTTGTACTTCCAATACTGTCCTTTTTTGTTTTTGTTTATCCCTCTGTGTTTTTCTTTTCATTTGTCAAAGTTTTTTTTTCTAGCTGAAGGAGACCCGACTAACCCTAACCCTAACCCTAACCCTAAAGACATTAAAGGTGCACATAAGTGCAGATGAGATCAGATGTTGTTTAGGAGTTACTTAAATGGTGACGGAGGTTAAAATAATGATTTTATCGGAGCAGACAGACTTTTAGAGACGTTCGGTCACAATTTCTAAGCAAATATTAAA